TTTTTTTTAAACGTATGTGACGTCATAAATATATCAAAATTATGACGTATTCATCACGAATTTATTATTATCAAATGATGAAAAAAGAAAGTGAATGAGAAAAAAATTTTTTTTTTTAAATAAATACAAAATAAAAAATATTTTTATATTATTATTTTCATTCATCGATAAAATCATCGATCGATATAATTTTAATAATAATAATAATAATAATAATAATAATAATAATAAATCTTACAAGAAAAAAAAAAGGAAAAATTACAATCTAATACATATACATTTATATAAAATAATAATAATAATAAACTTAATTTACAAGCAAGTCACAGTACGATTAATTTATTATTAACAAATAATAATAATAATAATAACAAATTTATTTCGGATACCTTTTTTTTTACACACGAAAAAAATGATGATAATAATAATTATAATAAGAAAAGGCACCTAAGGAATACTTTTAATTTTTTATGAGTATCTTTTGGACTGGTCAACATATATTATGTGATTTTTTTTTTTTTTTTTGAAAGAGAAGAGAGAGAGAGAGAGAGAGAGAGAGAGAGAGAGAGTAAAGGAATCATTTCTTTTTTTAATAAATTATTTAAATAAATTTTTATTTAAAAAAAAAAAAATAAGGAATAGGAAAAATTTGCAAGTTAGGATTTACATTACATCCTGATTTTTGTTTTTGTTTTGGATGAGCCCCCATGTTTTGATTTAATTTATTAACCTTAAATAAGTTTTGTTGCATTAAATAAAATATTTATTTATTAATAATTAATATAACAGGAAGGATAGTTCAAGAAGGTCAGGTAAATGTTTTGAATTTGTCTGTTTTAAAAACAATATTGTGTTTTGTTTACATTCACGTCGGAAGTAATTTAACGTTTAAATTCATTCAATAAAGCCTAATTTTTATTAAATTATTACACATCTTTTTTTTAAATTGCTGACTATCGTATTTAATTAACGTAAAGCAAACGCAGATGATATTTTTTTTTTTATTAAATTTTAAAATTTTTGTCCGTTGGATGCATATAGAAAATTCATTTTCAACGGTTTTTAAAATAATACATTTTTTGTCCGTAGATGTCACCCTTGTCCCTTTACTTTTTCAAAATTCTAATTTTTTGATTGGTTGAAAATTTGAATTTGAATTTTCTAACTGTCGCACGTTCGAAAATGTCGGATTTATCGGTTGTTTACAGAAATTCACATCCTGGAATAATCATGTAAATTTATTAGAATTTTTTAATTTTCATTTTCTTAATTTAATATTTCTTAAAGTTTAATAATATTGCATTGATTTTATTTATTTTTTGTTGCATAATAACATCACAAATTTGGAATTATGTGAAAGACAAAAACCAAAAGTAACACTTGTATTTTGCTTCATATAAAAAATAATACCATTTAGGGTTATAAAAATTATTTAATTATTTCTGATTACCAATAATGAAAAAAAAGATTTTTAAAATAGAGTAAAATTTTAAAAAAAATAAAGTTTTGCAATATAATTTTAACGCAATTTAAAAAAAAAAAATATAATTATGTTTTATTAGCTTTCAATAATTTTCATGTTGAAACATAAAATACTTGTTTTATATCCAACACTACAAGTTGAATGCAATTTTTTTTTCTAATAAGTATACATAATATGTTTGCAATACTCCTGTTGTATATTTTTTTTCACATGATATTACTTATTTAAATTCTTTTATTATATTTTTTTCAATTATTGACCTGAAATAATAATAGTTTTCATAGTAAATCACAAACCAAAGGTTACCAATTTGTAAAAATTATGCAACAAAACTTAAATGTTTAATCGTTTGACACAACTTCAATTAAAATTTTTTTTTTTTTGATAATGAATTAACAATAATAATAAAATTTCTCATAATTAACTTTTAAAAACAAATTAATTTAAACATGATGAAGCAAAAAGAAAAAAAAAAATATATATATATATATATAATTAATATTCACACAATGCTCTCTTGAATCCATTATGTATTCGAATAGTGAAAAAAAATTGTCAGGGCAATCCACTCGATACATCAAATACATTAAAACAATGAAAACAAAAATAAAAAAAGAAACTATAGAATATCTAACAACTATTAAACTATTAATTTAAATTAACCAAAAAAAAAAAAAAAATTTTATTCATATATTAAAAATAAAATAAAATTTTTAAAAAATCAACAGATTATACACTAAAATTAAAAAAAATAATAATTTTTTTTTAAAAAACTAATATCAATAAATGGCAGCAACATATATATATATATATATATATATATTTTTTTTTTAATTACAAACAATTTCAAATCGATAAGTTTTTAAAAATTGATTTACATAAATATACATACATACACACAACACACACACACACTTTCATGTTCGTGTATGTTGTGTGTTTGTTTGCATGTTTTTTACAATTATTAAAAAATAATACCGACAAACATATAACATTATTATTTTTTTGTCATTCTTTTTTTTTTTTTTTAGTAAAACAAACAATAATATTTTTTAATTTATTATCATTCAAATATGGTGTTGTGTTTATTATTATTTTATCACAGATTCACAGCACAAAATTATTCATTTATCTCTCTATCTCTATCTCTCTTTCTCTCTCTCTATATATATATATATATAATGAATACATAAATAATTTTAATTTCTTTTGATTGATTAACATTGTTTGCATAATTAATTATATAAAACCATATGTGAATGATAATTAAATAATATTTATTATGTATTTACAGATTCAATCGAATAAACTTTAATAAATATTCAAATGTTTTTTCTTATCACTCATTTGGTATTGATGTGAGAGTGATCATTCTCAACATGTTTTAAAAGTAGAAAATTTATCAAAAAGGATAACAAATGAATGAATAACAAAAGGCACTCTGTACAAATAAACACAAGTAAGAAATAATAATTTTTTTTTTTTAAATATAATTATTAACATATTATTATTATTTTTTTTTTTTTTTATAATTAATTTAATTAAGTGTATAATCTCGTATTAATTGACAACGACGACAACAACCAAAAAAAAAAAAAAAAAAAAGGTTGTTAACCTGATTTTACAACCTTTCGTTTACATGAAAGTAATGATAGTAGTAGTAGTAGTAGTAGTAGTAAAAGTAGTAGATTTTATTTTAAAAATTAAAACAACCGAATTATTATTATTATAATTAAACGTTATCATCGTTTTTATAAATAAATAATAAATAAATATTTAAACAAATTAAAAAAAAAAATAATAATAAATTTTGTTTAAAAGAAAAACAAACAAACAAACAAATTAACAACATTTTTTTTTTTTTTTTTAAATTTTTTTAACTAAAAAAAAAAAACGATCGGATAAAATTTTTAAAAATAACAATAATAATAATAATACTTTTATTTATTGATTAGAATAAAAAATAAATAAATAAATTATTGGTGGTACCTGCCCATCATAAAAAATAATCATAATCATCATTATCATAATTTGTTATTACATAACGTGTTAATTAATTTTTTTTTGAACGTTACACACTCTGCAGGGGGGTAATAAGAAAGTAACGTGTTTATTAACAACAACAAAAAAAATTGTTTTTATTTTAATAAATTTTATTTATGTTTATTATTATTATTATTATTATTAACATCCGATCGTTTTTAAGTATGAATTTAGTAAGACGACAACCTGTTTGTTATTTTTTTTTGTTAAAAAAAGAGATCTTTTTACGGTTAGAGGTAAATGTGCTTGTCCAATTTTTATTACTTAATTATTACCTTTTCTTTTTTTTTTTTATAAGAAGATTGTCTGTCTTATCACTCAATTATCATTTGTAATAATTAATGATTGATATTTGATGTAGTAAGACGATGATGGACGGAATATATATGTATAAAATTTCCAAAACGAACGTTTTAGGCAACAACAACAACAACAACAACCGCGAAAATATTAATAATAATGAAAAAAAAGTGAATTTTTTTTTTTTTTTGCTCATAGTAATTATTATTAGTATTATTACTTTTATGAAACGTGCCTTATTCGGATTTAAGAATACCTTAAGGGATTAAAAATAGTTTCGAAATCGAAAAAAAAAAAAAAAACCTTAACTGTTGAAATTAAAAAATATAAATTTTAATGTTGTTACGGTTTTGGTTTTTTTTTTTTTTTGCAATGATTATCGATATTGCAAAATTTTTTTTTTTTTTTTAAAAAAATGCTCAAGGGGGTTCGAGTAATAAAAAATTCCCTTTTTTTCCGTTGTTGTTGTTGTTGTACCTAAAATACCCTTTCATTCACGTAATGTAAACCTTCAATTGTTGTAAAAACAATTAAATTGAACAAAGCCTGTGTTAAGAGAGCCTGAATTTTGTTTGTTGTGAATTCTAACGTGTGATATTTGACGGTCAGCGCCTTTTTTTAATGTCGCAATATACACTTCCGTATAAACAAAAAGTGGTAAAAATAACGAACAACGTAGTTCAAGCAAACTTTTATTGTTTGTTACTACAAACCAAAATTGGACAAACACGTAAAAAGAATTTTGGGTTATTCTGTACGACAAACAAACATAACTTTCCCCTAACAAAATAAAAAAAATGAGCAAATTGGACGGTATTCGTTGCAATGAAAATGCCCTCATTTAATAGAACGGAAATGTTTCGTAATTAGCAGAAGATAAATTTTTTTTTTTTTTTTTCGGGGCGCTTCCTTGTAAAATTTTCGTTTTTACTCTCCTCTCGTCTCTTCACCTTTTTTCCCCCCCCCCATTGATTTTAAATTTGAGTCGACAAAGTGATTAATTTACACGACTACCGATGTTGTTCCGGAGGCAAAACTTTGTGAGACCTTGATTTTGAATGTGACGTACTACTTCCGCTACTGTTACTACTATTACTATTATTACTACCGTTGCCTATGTGTTTTTGCGATTGTGCTAAATGCGTTTGATAATGTTTCGCCAAATGAGCTTTTTGACGAAAGCTTTTACCGCAAAGATTACACGTGAACGGTTTTTCTCCCGTATGAGTTCTCACGTGAACGTTGACCGAATATTTGTCTTTGAAACCTTTCGAACATATTGAGCAATAGTGAAGAGACCGTTCTTTTCTGGCTCCGTTGCTGTTCGGTTTCACGTTCACATTGCTCACATTTTTTTTATTGTATTTTTTATTAACGCACTTCCCTTGTGTTATTGTATTGTTTTGTATGTGATTCACCCTGTTGTCCATTAATAAATTATCTACGTTATTACCGGGCATCATGAACATGTCGTTACTGCACATGGGTAGTTCGTTCATTGAAAACTTGGCACAGTCTGCGACTTCGTTCGCGATTTTTTTTATTTTTTCGTAATCGTCGTTGAATGCTTCCATCGTTGAGAGACCTAATATTTCATCAATATTATTTGTACTGTTTTCCTCGATAGGATACGACTGCGGATTCATCATGAGTTGCGATGATTCCACGTATTGAACGCTGTTGTCCTCGCGAACGGTTTTCTTACACATCGGGTAATTTTTTTGAAAGCTTCCTTTTCCCTGTAAAGCGTTACGTAAAAGTGAATCGTTGACGTTGTTGTTTGTCGCTTTCCAGTCGTTGTTATTCACGACGGGACTCATAGGAACATCTTTTGCTTCGTTGAATCCGTTGTGCTGCGGTTGTTGTTGTTGAGGGTATTCCTGATAATAATAATTGTGTTGTTCGTTCGTTTCCGTTTCTGGAATGATGTTTAAAAAGGAATCGATGTCTAAATTATCCGGTTTTTTCACCTTTTCCGGAGCCTTGTACCAATTGTCATTCGAATTGAGAACCGTTAGAGTATACACAGCACCATCGGTATTTTGTTCTTGAACGTTTTTACTTTCCCCCCAATCGTTCCACGTGTTTATATCATCGAGTATTCCGGTTTCTATTTTAATACTTTCCTTATCGTTCCAAAAAATTGAATTTTCAAAATTAATATTGTTGTTCATTCCGCAATCTTTGACATTATTATGAGGCGGTTTGACGTCGTTTTCGTTGTTGTTTTGTTCGATGTACACACCCAAGGATTTCATTGATTTGTTGTAATTATTTTCAGTGGCATCGACAAAATCGAAAAAAGCTGACTCAGCGCCCGCTTTTGGAGCTCCCGCGTTTTGAATGTAGGTTTGGGTTGCGTCCATTTTTTTTTTTTTTTTTTAATTCATTTGAAAATTTTTTACTTCATTTTTATCGTTAAAAAAAAAAATTTTTTTCTGAATTAAACTTTTTTTTCTTTTCTTCATGTGATTTTAAATTGACGATCGATCTGAAAACAAA